CTTATCGAAGACGACTCACCACGAGTCTACTCGACCACTCGCTAGACGATTGCAAATTCGACTCGAAAGGTGTTACTTCTCGACGAGCTAAAGAACTATTTTCGTCTTGAGCCTCTCCCTCTATGACAATGTGTCAACATTGCATTTAATGTTTGGCAGGCGCAATCATGACTCTTGCTCAGATAGTCTTCATGACTCATCAGACCATGTGGGCCCTGACCATGCCACCAATATCCTCCCATTTAATGCCGATGCGACCTTCCCTCCACTCGCTGACCAACACCTGTATAACAAGTGTCGACGTGGCCACCACCCCACACTTCGCCAGCACCTCTTTGTGCTCTGCCGAAGTGACCAATCTACCCCTTCTACACTCAGTATAAATACAAGTACTATTCGAACTTTTAAGGGGTTCAAAAAAAGGGGGGAAACATTGGTCCACAAATCTGATCTTTTAAACACAACTAAACTGTCAATCACACGACACAATTACAAGAACCCTCACAGTTCTTATTTCCCCCCACTTAAGTTCATCAGCTAATTTGACCATTGGATACAACGGGGAACCAATCCCCGCCCTCTCACGAATTCCTAAATGTGCACATTTTTTAGCTACCTCACTCAAGAAACAGACATAAAGTCAGAGAAAAAAGCAGCCACCTCATCAACTTAAACAAAACTCATCTGAACGCGAACACATATTAACTGTATGATCATTTGACATCAACAACTTCGTTTATTTATATTGACGAGTTAAATAATTAAAACGTGTTAAGCAATTAAAAAGTGTTAAGCATTTGGTTGCGAAAATAGAAACAACTAGCTAAATAAATGGGCGGGATTTGTGGATCTAAACAGCGTTAATTATGGATCTAAATGCCTGTTTTTCCTCTATAAAAACTAACACCTCCGAGGGCTAGACATACTGAATTACAACCGAGTTTCTCTTCTTTTCTTCTCTTCAAAATAAAGTTTTCTTGCTGTTATACGCTGGTTCCCTGAAAATCGTGAAGAGTTCGCAAAGCCTTCTTGAAGCTCATGCCGACGAGAAGGACGTCGCCTGACCTAGGGTCGTCGTATCTCCAAGATCAACTGCCACGTAGCCCTGTACGAGAGGGGGCAATTAGATTCTTGGGACAGTGCTTTGTGCACGCATCGATCATCAGGCCGTATTTCTAACATTTACTTATTTTCGTTTGAATTATTTCTTATATCTGTGTTATAATATTAACTCACAATTATCTGATAATTATTAACTGTTCAAACTAATTTTCGTTTTTGTCTAAACAACTAATATTTCCAATAGTTTATGCATATACGCCATTCATCTTGTAAACAATTATGAATTTGATATTTAATAATTTCATTCAGGTTTACATTTTAATTTAAACTATATCCTTATCTTCATACTATGTATATTCGATAAGAATTCATCAATTTATCAACTTACTCTTACTTAACGAATTAGTATTTGAATTTCAAAAGGGTATTTTTGTCTACCAAAAGATTTTCCCAAACTCTTGCTTTTAAAAAGAGTATGATGTTCGGAAAAAAAATTCGCGAATATTCAATTAGCATTATTCTGCAACTTCGATTTCAAATTATTCGTCAAATATTTGATATGTATTTGCTAATAATTCAAAAATTATAAAAATAAATATAATCAGTAAACAAAATGTAATAGCACTGAGGGACGACAAGTTCCGAGGGATGACGAGCTTCAAGGGATGACGAGCTCTCCGAGGGACGACGAGCTTCAAGGGATGACGAGCTCTCCGAGGGACGACGAGCTTCGAGGGACGAATGAACAACGAGCTTCGAGAGAGAATGAGATTCGTTGATGAGGGAGTAGCGTATGGACTATGGAGTTTGGATCTGGAGGAGGGCCGACGACGGATAGAATTAGAAATTTAGAAACGAAGGAGAAACCCTAGCCCCTGGATTCCCTCTTACCTATTTATATGGGTGACATTTGTAAATAAAATTTTACATAAGTAAATTTGTAAAAAGTTCAATTAATAGGACTAAAATGCAAAAACTAATCGAATAGTTAATGAACTCCCGAATCGAACATACCTTTCATTAAATTCTATTCATTTATAAGCCGAATACTAAAATTTTTTTGTTTAGTACTAAATGAACTATCGAATCAAACTTAATCAAATATCTGAACGAATAATAACCGAACTGTTTATTAATTATTCGGTTCACTTCCACCCAAAGTAAAACTACACACAGATTCGCTTCTCATCAACCTTTACTCGGCTTGTCTATCTCATTATATATATCCTCAGAAGGTTAGTTCATGTCTCAGGATAACAACATAATAGCTTGCTGAAATCTCACATGGTCATCTCGTCCTCACTTCTGCTTTCGGGACAACGGTTATCTTCTCCACTGTAATCTATATACGAAGGTCATCATCTGTTTCTGTAATGGGTTGGATTCGATCCGACCCCCGATCAAGCTTGTGCCTCCACGTCCAAGGGAGATGCCACGAGTTTATCATTCAGCGACAGTTCAATGGGTCCAACGTTTATAATTAATTAAAAATATTGTCGTAGAGCTATGATCAGAAGTCACAGAGGTACATGATGGCTTTTACATAACTATACAACTCAACTACTGCGAGGGTCTGATTGTTTTTTTTTATAAACCATGTGAAAGCTACAGTAATTTGTAAACCACGTGTCCAACTGTACATGTACTTGACAGCTACAGTAAATCCTCCTAAAACGCTTCATTTTGTTGAGGCTTGGTCAAATGCTGCCAAATTTATATTTCCCTTGCTCTCTGTATTTACTAGAAAATTATGCAATGCCTTTTTACGTACATAGTCGAGCCGAGCTATTTCACTTCAAATTTTAGGAGCGTGGCAAACCATAAAAGCTCAGAAAAACACATATCACAAGTTTTGAGGATATTTTAGCTTTTTCTACCCAGGTTCTTAAATTACAGTGATTATTTCAGGGATCCCTTAAGCACTGAGGGTCAAGGAAACAATGCTTGTAAGCTTAAACTTCTTAGGCTTCTTGGAGTTCAGTGGCTGGAACACAACCTCCGTGCTTTGCTTCACAGCCACCTCCTTCAATTCAGAAGCTGATGATCCTTCACTTCGATAATCACGAGGGGCATACAAGACGTAAATTCTTGATCTCCCTGCATCAGATCCTGCTGTTAGATACATAATTGTTTTTGAGTATCGCTCCGCTCTACAACTAGCTCTTTTTTTTTAAATCAAAACCCGTTAACTTCATTATTTTAAATTTGAGTCACATATTGACATCTATGCTAAAGATTAATGTCTCCAGAAACACTTGTGACGGTAAATATTCACCTTATCATGGCTCTCCTTATTGCATTAAGAAGCTTATCATAACTTTAATCCAACCTCAACACAGTAACTTTGCTTCATCCAGAAAATGCATATACTTGCTAGATAGACACTTACTATGTTATCTTCCAACTAAGATGTCCGTAAAGATTGACAATCTGGGTTCGATAAGCATGGGAATTTGTGGCTTATCTATTGGACGATCGGTTGTAAACTAATGAATAGCACAGATAGCTAGCAATATAATTTGACATCAGTCAAGTCCCTCCTATTTGGAAATTAACCAATCTCCTAACATATACGAGGGCTACAATACACAATTTGAAATTTGTGGCTTGTCTACTGGCTGATTGGTTGTAAACAAATGAGCAGTATAACTAGCTGACAATATAATTTGACATCAGTCAAGTCCCTCCTATTTGAAAATTAATCAATCTCCTGCTATTCCTATTTTCATGATTATGTTAATGACTGCTCTTTGCCACGAAAGATAGTCTGCCATCACCAAATAAATCTGATAGGTTTAGAACTGGTTCATCATCATATAAGTTTGGAAGTTTAAAAGTTACCAAAAGGTCCAAACATCGTCGACTTTTGGATGACAATCTGACTAACTTTTGACCTTTTCAAGTGCCTCAAAGCCTGCATATCATCCTGATTTCCCTTGAACTCAATGAACTCGCCAAGAATGTTCCTATCACCTTTGAACTCTAACCTGCAGAGAAAATATTAATAATCCAATTAATGTTTCAATTTGCAAACTATGGTGGAAATTAACAAAATGCAAAACTAATGCTTCTTTGCGAAGCTAATTCAAAAATATCACATAGATGATACAAATTTTGTTAAACTTACTTAAAAGGGTTTTTTTCATCAAAACAAACTTTAAAATAGGGTGGTCATACACGAACCACCTACAAAATTTAATTTATACTAAAATCATCTTAAAAGGGGGTTTTACTTTCAATCAACCACCAATGACCAAATTGTGTTCATATTTTACACAAACCCATAATACCCTTAATTAATACACGTGCAAAGCACATTTTCCCACCTAATTAAAATTAAAAATGAAAAATTAAAATGTTCAAAAATCAAGTAGGGAAACACTGGTTTTGCGTCAGATTTGTGTGGTGATTAGGATTGGGTAAGTTCGTGTGGTGTGAACGGTGGTGGGAAATTGTTAAGCAGTGGTGGGAATTTGTTGAGCGGTGGGTTTTGAGGAGGTTTGGTGGCCGGGTTGCAAGCAAGAGATGGGCAGGAGTTTGGAGTTGATGTCTTTAGTAGAGGCATGAGGGGGGGGGTGTGATCCAAATAGCGTTGTCGTTGGTGTTTTGGTTTAATTTCTAGAAATTATAGAAAATGTTTTCCACCCAAAATATGATTTTCTTATATTTCTTAAAAATTTTATAGGAAAAGTTTTGAGAAGTCAAAAAACACCAATTTTCTTGTTTTTTTGTACTTGCTTGTTTGGTTCAAAACAAGAAAATGACTCATAATTTTATAGAAAACAACACGATTTCCTTTTCTTTTGTTTGGTTACATATGCCAAATTTATAGAAAAGTGTCAACTACAATCTTTATCACTTTAATGGCTATGCACATATACAAAATTTTCACATCTTTAAATCTTATAAAAAACCAACGAGAGTAGTACTAATGCCACAAACATATTACAAACGCTCGATTGAATCATTTCTAATAACATAAAATTAACAAATTGGTCTTATGAATTCGTTTAACAAAAAAATTTTCAACCATAACTATGAAAATAAAAAGAACAGAAATCAATTAACTATGAATTTGAAAAGAACAGAAACCCTAACGTCATTTTTCGTTAATAGATCAACTACAAATAGATCAACACAAAAAAATGAGCAAAAAGAACAGATTATTACCGTGAGAGCCTTGAGATCAGAAACCCTAGCGTGAGATTTGGGAACAATGTGGAACCGTAGCGTGTGATTTGGGAACGAGAGAACCCTAGAACTGGGGTGATGGAGGAGAAGGAACGAGACATAAGTAGTTGGCGCGAAGGACCAAAACCCAGCTGGATTCGGGGCGAGAACGACTGGATTTGGGGCGGGAACGAGATCGGGAATTTCCGCCCTAGAAGAAGTTTGAGAAAATAATACGGCTGAGGGAAATGGGTATGGGACGAGTTTTGTTGATTAAATAAGGAATGTGTCAGATTTCTGTTGATTTCCTCTCAATTTGAGAGGAAATTGCTTTTTGTAAAATTTGGTAGTTTTTGATATTTCATAGAAAATATTTCTTTAAATTTTTTGTTAAACCAAACGCAATTTACAGAAATCTATAGAAATCTTTTAATTACAAAATTGCCAAAAATAGATATTTTGAGAAAAGTTTTTTATAAAAGTGTGCAACCAAACACCCCCTTTAAGTAGGGTTTTTATCATCAAAACCACCTTTAAATAGGGTGGCTATATAGAAACCACCTACAAAATTTAATTTATACCAAGACCACCTTAAAAGGGGGTTTTTGTTTCAATCAACTACCAGTGGCCAGTGTTCAGGGGAGCACGAGATCAATGTTTGGGGTTGTTTGGTGGCAGGAGTTCACTGGGTTAGGGGCTGATTGATGGCAGAAGTTCAAAAGAACAGGAATTTGCTGTTTTGGAGCTGTTTAATGGCCAGATATGGGGTGGCTTGGTGGCGTTTTAGCTGGCACCCACTGGCCAGTTGCAGCGTGAGAGATTGGCCGGTAGTGTGAGCGTTTGGGACTGTTTGGTTAGCCAGGAAGTTCGGGTTGGTGGCTGGCTGGAGGAGCGGCTAGGGCGTTGGTGGCCGGAGGTATTGATGTGCGCTCGCTGTGCGTTTTGAGCTGAGGGGGTTGAGTGGCTGAGGGAGGGAGGGGGTAGGGGACTGGTTAAGGGTGAGTTTGGGAGACACGTGCGTAGCACATGTATTAGGAAAGTAATATGGGAATAAAGGATAAACTTACACTAGAAATTGGCCACTGGTAGTTGATTGAAACAAAAATCCCCTTTTAAGGTGGTCTTGGTATAAATTAAATTTTGTAGGTGGTTCCTATATAGCCACCCTATTTAAAGGTGGGTTTGATGAAAAAAACCCTACTTAAAGACAACCTATTTGCAATTCCTTTCTTTTTCTCTTTTTCCCCCTCATGCCTCCACTTAAAGACATCCTATTTGCAATTCCTTTTTTCTTTTTTTACTCATGCCTGAATCACCTTGTAAATTATGATGTAACCACAGATGCAACATCAAGCTAATATATGGTCAACAGACATTTGGAAGGCCCAACTCATGCCTCGTGAACCTTCCTGTTAAGAGTTGTGTCCCAACTTCTTGAAAATAGAAGTCAATACATGTATATCATAAAGCATTCCAAAACCACATATGTTTTAACTTCCACTTTGGCTTTACACAGCGTTGAGTTCATTCTACCTATTTTCAGATATATTACGGTCACTAAAATGATAAACCTCTGGTAAATGGCCTAATGCATTTCAATATGGGAGGATCTTGGAGCCTAATACATCAATGAGTACAATGATCCAAATTTAGAACATTAATTGAAAACTTCTTGATTACTTCACAACTTAACCAGGATGCTAAATAGGAACCGTGCAATACAACATCAGATTATTCTTATGCTATTGAGACATGAAGCAAGTCTTTTGGATGTTAGAATCTCAGATAACAATAAACAACTTTTGGGGATAGCTATATAAATACAACATAATTAATTAGTCTTCCTTCGGGGGTTTACTCCCACATCAGCTATTAGCACAATAAAAGATATAGCATCGGTATACAATAGGCGCATGGGCGACAGGGAAAAGCATACCTTTCTCCGGCCTTTGGCTAAGATCACCAAACTAAAAAGAGGTGCCCAGGCATAAGATAGGCTAGATACCAGCATAAGTCTCTAATAGTAAGAAGAGATGGACCTAGGGCTCATACATGCAATTGACTATAACACAATAATAAAACCAGAACATTTTCATATTTGACATACCTATCCCACATTGGTGCTGTGCTGAATATAGAATTAAGCCTTTGATCTAACTCTTAATGCGTCTTTAATCCAACTCGACAGCCCACCTTTTGATTCTGACTTGAGCTCTGACCATTTGTCAAAAGGAATAACCTCTGGTTGACTATCAACAGAATAGGAAGTCCTAAAGAAAACAAAGAAGATCTAAGAGTATGAATTTGCATAAGTAGATGGCATGTTAAAAAATTAATATCATAGCCACTGAAATTATGAGTGCTGTGGAAACTGTAGCAAAATTTCAAAAATTGTTTTTAACCTTAAACAAGTGGTAACTGATCTGAAATTCAAAAGCAGGGAAAACAAAAGCCTGACAAGAATATGTACACCAAATTAATCAATATCATGAAGCTGGACACCACACTTTAGAAACCACGTTGCTGACATTGTGACCGAAAAATATGTGGCTTAGATATAAGGCATCCTTCATCACTATATGGAGATCTGTCTCCAGTAAAATACATCCACTTGCTTTACACTGTGGCTTTTCCAAGGGAAAAAAAGGAAATTTATTTCCTCAAGCTATCATGACAGCAATTTACCATAACCGTCTTTTCCTGAAGCTATCATGACAGCAATTTACCATAACTGTCTTTAATCAAAGTACATGTTATCATTTGGCTGCATAAATGAAAATGGGTGAAGAAGAGAGCCGGAAAAAGAAGGATGGATAAGAAGTGAAAGAAAGGATGTGGCATAAATGAATCACAAAAGAGGAAATCATCATACCAAATATAGTAAATAATGATTGTGCATAGAATAGTTAGCTCACACTACAACAACCAAAAACACTTCCTGCTCTCTAGCCTCTCTTACAGACTAAAACATGTAGGAGAAACTACCAGTAAGAACCGAACATAATAATTAACTTTTAACCAATAAATTAGGTTAAAATGCAACGACATGTACTAAAGCATCACCAGATACAGGATGGGTGTCAAACTGAGTGTTGATTCTTGATTATTGAAGAAATACAGGAAGTTAACTAGCCTTCTACCCTTATTCAACTAAAGCTATCTATAAATTTTGCAAATTTATGACCCGATGAACAATATTTATTCCATAATTTAGCATTTCTAATTGGGTTTCAACATCCTGCTGTTGGAATGATCAGTGAAGGATGTTTTAATAGCACCATAACAAACATTATGTGACAATTGATAAAGACACATTTCCTCATACTGATTGATTTTTTAATCTACAGGGACAGGGTAATATTAACTCATGTAGGACACACATGAATGAGGAATAAGGTTTTAATGTCTGTTCTTATAAGAAAGAGAATTTAATATGGCACTAAATCACCAAAGACTTCAATTCAGGCAGTTTACTGCTTCTTCCTCTCACAACAAAGGTTGTCATCAGATTCTTCTCAAGGAAGTATTTCACTCTTTATGAAAACTTTCTTCCCCAATAACATCCGTTTTCGGGCCTTTTCAAGCAAAAGAAAATGGAAAGGTATGAATTATGCTTTTGGTTTACATGGGCAACGTCATTTCTGTATATTCATACAGAGAAATAAAGCAACAGCAATCCTGTGACAATCTTCCACAGCAAACTGACCATTAACATATGAAATGACCTCTAAGGAAGGGCACAATAGTAACCCCTTAATTTTTTTTCCGTTAAAAAGGATTCAACTTCACTCATCTTGGACTTCAATACAAAGGACAAATTTTCAAAACCAACCCCTTTCAACATTTAATCCCAAAAAACGACTTCTTTTGCACTTATTTTTAAAAACCGATCTGGTTTCAGCCATGGCGCTAAAACCAAGTCGGTTTTGAAAAAAAATTCCGAAACTTCACGGGAGTTGAACTCTCGTGAAGTTTAGCAGATTTTTAACAATCTGCTAAAACTTCACGGGAGTTTGACTCCCGTGAAGTTGTATTTGTTGAACAAACTTTACGGGAGTTCAACTCCCGTGAAGTTTGTTATAGTGAAAAAACTTCACGGGAGTTTAACTCCCGTGGAGTTTCAGTCGAATTTCCAAAGAGCCAACTCTCAAAAAAATTTTGACCGCAACTCCACGGAAGTTGAACTCCTGTGGAGTTGTAGACGTCTATATAAGGCCCAGCCCCGTGAAGTCATCACCCAACCCACACCCCTCTCTCACCCGTTCCCAAACCGAAACCCTAACCCTCTCTTCACCGTTCCCCACCGCCACCAATTCCGCCGCCGCCGATCCCCACCGTCATCGCTGAAGTCCCCGCCGGCGGCGGTCATCATCCTCACCGGAGTGGATCGTTCTCGCCGTCGTCATTGTCGGAGTTCACCGGAAATTAGGAAAAATTTAAGGTAAAATCTTTTAAAAAAAATTTTCTCCTAAATTCTTGTATATTCTTACTATATCATGATGATTACTTGGAAAAAATTAGATTTTAGAAATTACTTGTGAATTATTTAGGAAGATTGTGAAGAAAATTTAAATAATTTTGTGTATTTAGAGGGAAAATTATCAAAAAATATAAATATTAGTGTTACTACATATGTTTGATATTGATATATGAATTTGGTTAAAATTATGGGTTTCTAAAATTGATAAGATAGGATTTAATGGTAAGTAACATTTTTTTAAAGTTTTTTCGTGTAATATTGATCGTGAATTTTTTACTCTTCAGAGGTAATGATGAACGATCGAATCGTAATCCTTCGTTTATATGATGAGAAGATTAACCATCTCGAAAATAATATGCTCGTTTATGAAGGAGGTGTGACGAGACCGTTGTTTATAACAAAATCGTGTACTTTTGATGAATTGGTTAATGAATTACACAAACTTATATTAACCAACTCACGTATGTATCACCTCAATGTTATTTGTAATTATCCTGTTACGGGGAACAGAATAAGCGGCATTCAAATATCAAGTGACTATGATATGAGTCTCATTGGAGTGTTACACGGCGAGGGGCGTTCGGTCGAATTGTTTATTGAAAAACATCAAAGGAATTTGGGCAAATCGTTGAATAACGACGGAATGTACTCTCGCATGTTGGAGAACCTTGAAGTTAACTCCGTCGGCTTTTTATCTAACACATTGCACGTTCGTTTGTTGTAATATGTTTTTTATATATGACTAAGTCAGTCATTCAACTGAAATATCTAACACATTGTACATTGTCCTCTAATATTTTAATCTCAAATATTTTAATCTCAGATATATTCATTATGAATCCGGGACTGATACATCCCGATATTTTGTACCTTCAGGCGAGTCATTGTTCAGACCATATTGGCTTAGGACAGGTAAAACATTTTTGGTATATATATTTCTTAGCATTGGCACTAATTTTAATTTTTCTCAATATACTTAATCAATTTTGTTTGACGTGCAGCCCGTACCAAACATCACCATGGTCGATCATTCCTAGAGTCATTCGGCTTGGGTCATTGAGAATGAGAGAGTACTACAGCTGATAGCTCAGGCCGGGTTCCGAGAGTGTTCGACAGTACGATATATTAAACTTGATTGGCCGCTTATCACTGCACTGATGGAGAGGTGGAGGCCAGAGATCAATACCTTTCACATGCATATAGGGGAGTGTACCATCACCTTACAGGACGTAGCCGTCATACTTGAGCTTCGCATCAATGGCCCGGCAATAACGGGCACTGATGACCATAATTGGGCTGAGATATGTGCTAGGCTTCTTGGTCAGGTTTCCGACTTGAGGAGTGGTGCGATGAAGCTATCGTAGCTTCGTCAGACATTTCAGGGAGATATACCAGCAGATGCCTCCATTGAGACGCTTGAGTTTCATGCTCGTGCGTACATACTGCACATGATAGGGTGCATGCTATTTCCTGATGTGAGCAAGACTCTTGTACATGCATGATGGCTGTCACTGCTGGAGGATTTTGGTGTATATGGCGCACTATCGTGGGGCAGTACGGTGTTGGCATACTTATATAGAGAACTAAGTAGAGTATCCTTAATGCAGAATACAGAATTCAAAGGATGCTGCATGTTGATCCAGATTTGGTCATGGAAGCACATTCATGTTGGCAGACCGACTTTGCTTGTGCACCGCGACTTAAAGGGGCAGTTTCCTTTCGCATACCGGTATAATTGTCCACATAATTTTATTCAACTGAATTTGACTCATATATTCTTTATGCCAAATATGTATAACGTGCGGTACGCTAACTACAAATCAGCGACGTGACATCGTGAGTTTTACCGAAATGAGCTTGATGTCCTCCAACACGAACAGGTAAATATAAAACTCGATTCGTTATGAATATTATAGTTTTGTTATTGATACTGATAAATGTTTTATCTTATTTCAGTTCAAGTGGAGACCTTATTCACCGTCGGAGCTCGATATGCATACTCTTGCACCTATCTGTCGAGATAGTCCCGACTTGTGTAGAGCCAAAGTTATATTGATTTGTTGGGAGATTGTGGAGATGCATGTCCCCGACCGTGTGCTACGGTAATTTATGCTCTCAGCATGTGCCAGAGCAGATCGATCGTCGACGACGACCTACATCGCACCGTACCGGCTGGATCGTAGTCCGTGCTGCCTACATAGACAGGTGGACTCACAGGTGAGATTTAATACAGGATACAAGAGACACATCTATTGACTATACCGCATATATGCGTTGGTATTGGGATATCACACGTAGATAGATCACGCGTGATCCACAGCCATCAGCTGGACACATACACCGACAGACAGTTACATCCCTAGTGGAATGATCGAGAGAGATTATGTAAGTTTCTAAGCTAAATTATAACATTTTTTATTAAGATGGTACTTAATAAATTGTTTACCTCGCAGATCCGTGCTTTTGATAGCATTAAAGCTGATATTGATACGCACATGTCTGAGATTCAGGATTCGGTGGCGTTAGGGGTCTTCAACAGGATCAAAAAGACAATAGCATAGGTGTTTCATAAGACTCACGTCGACGAGTTTGCAGGTTGTGAGGACAGGTCTTGATCATTTGGGCAAGCGTACATGCGACGACGACGGTCACGTGACGATGAAGTCGACACTTCGCATGCTGATAGAGCCAATACTTCGCATGCTGATGGAACAGGTGCTTCTCAGCCTCATACACAGCCGGATACTCAAATAATTGAGGCTCATCAGCAGGAACGCAGGGGGCGGGGAAGAGCGAGGGGGAAGGGGAAGAGAGGGAGAGGAAGGAGAGGATCTATTTTGGGTTGTATGTCAGCTTATTTTGTTAAAATTTGTAACTTTTATGAATTTTCAAATACTATACTTTTGTGGATCAATTATTGTTTATATATGTACTCTTTGTGAGTATTGCTTGATTCGTGTTTAATTCATGGTTGAATTATGTATATATTATTACAATTCAGTGTATATGAGATCAATTATTGTTAACAGGTAAATATAACGTATATGAGTTACGTTACGTACAAAACATGCATAGGCTACTGTGCATGTTTTGTAAAACCTGCAACTCCACGGGAGTTGAACTCCCGTGGAGTTACAGGAGGTAATTTTCCGAGAGTTGGCTCTCTAGAAATTCGACTGAAACTCCACGGGAGTTCAACTCCCGTGGAGTTTTTTTATTGTAACAAACTTCACGGGAGTTGAACTCCCATGAAGTTTCGGAATTTTTTTTCAAAAACCGACCTGGTTTCAGCGCCAGGGCTGAAACCAGGTCGGTTTTTGAAAATAAGTGCAAAAGAGGTCGTTTTTGGGGATTAAATGTTGAAAGGGGTTGGTTTTGAAAATTTGTCCTCAATACAAATCATCAAAATGATGGTGTACTAGAACTACACTGTTCCCAAGAAGATTAAGCAAACTCAAAATAAAAAATTAGTACGAGTCATAAAAATTTCATGATTTATTTACCTTGCTGTTATATGAATGCAGATATCAGCTAAAACTAAGCTGTGGTATTTTTGAGGTATTCAGGAAAACTTTTAAACAAGTGAAGCATATGATTATTAAAATTGTGATGCATACAAAATTGATGGCGTAGGAATACATTGTACTAGTCCATTTTATTTGATGAGCAAGAATTTATTTTCACTAAAATAAGTGAAGAACAATTTTTCAAAACCGACTGAAATTTTTTTTTTTTTTTCAAAACCGACTGTTTTTTTTTTTATTGATAAATAAAAAAAAAACAGTCGGTTTTGAAAAAAAAAAAAAAAAATCAGTCCGTTTTGAAAAATTGTTCAATAAGTGAAGCATAAGTGTCATAAAAAACCGTGATGCATGAAAACACTTAACAGTTTAATTTGTTTTATTTATGATGAGAACAAGTTTAGACTTGCTTTGCTGTACCTGCAATTTGGATTTGGGAGTATAACTCTGCCAATTAAATGTCCTTTTGGCAGTGATACACCCCTTTGCTCCAAGTATGCTTCCAGAATTATCAACTGCTTTGTTACTTCCTCCACCTGCATACGAGTTCATAGATACATGAATGCAGGATCAAACAAGAAATAAATCTAAATGGGTTTGCAATTTTATCATCGGAAATAGAGGAGAAGCAAGGGTGGCGATTATCAGTGAAAAATACAAGGTAGACATCTTCTCTCGCATTTCATCCTCTTTGCTTGGTTCTCCAGAATTATCAAATCCATTGGAAAATGGCAATTGGAATCATCAATCCAATAAAAAATAAATCTTGACTACGGAATCAACAGAATCCAATAATGATTAGAAATGCCTACAGGATCAGGATGAGCCTCAGAACGTTTTCCGTCTTTACTACAAACCCAACCCCCATCTTTAGCGACATCCACAAATCCAGAGAAACTCCTAACCGCCACAACCATCACTTCCCTTCATATATTTAAAAAAAAAAGACAACAATAAATCCTCGATCAAAATCCAATTGACCTCCAACTAAAATTCAAGAACTGATATACCTTTTGGTGACCAAGACGATCTCAATGTGCTTCCGAGAGCTGGTATCAGGATCGGGGATCCGAAGGCCCACGTAAGCTTTGCCGCCGTGGCTTTTCTCCAATCTAAATAAGAAAAGGAATCAGAAATGGAGATGGATGGTGGTGAGAGTTAGAATTAGGGTTAGGGTTAGGGTTTGAAGACCTTCTGGCCACGGCGAAGCTTAGGTCGGAGTGCTTGCTGTCGACGTCAGGGATGTCGTCGGCGTCGCCGCCGTAGATTAGTCGCCGGAAAACCTTGTAGATGACGAGGCCGCAGACGATTTCGAACCACATAATTTCGATTTTTGGTCTGTTGTTGAATGGAAATTTTCTGAGCTTTTTTTGTTCCGTTTCCTTTTGATCCGGAGGTGAATCGGCGACCGATGGCAGATGAAGGAATGCGAAAAGCGGGTCCCACTCTCAAGTCTACTTTCTCCTCCTTCGGGGCGAAGGAACGCGTCGAGGGGCCTGGTGGGCTTGAAGATTAACGCCCAGGGACCCAAAAAAAGATCCATATGGGACGAGTGAGGTGTCAGTTGCTGGGGCATGATTTAGGTTATGTTTGGCAAAACTAGCTAAAAGCTGCGAGATTATAGCTGAAAGCTGTCAAGCTAGCTGAAAGCTGTGAAATTGTAGCTGAAAGCTGATAGCTGTGTAGCTAGCTGATTGACTAGAGCTGTTTGGCAAAAGAAGATGTACAACTAGCTTAAATTTGTTAAATGACTAAAAAAGTCATGTAATATTATTGATATAAAATTAGAATTATTAGGGGCAAAAACGGAAGAAAAAAATTGACAGCTCCTTCCCAAAGACAAACGCTACTTGAGATAGCTTTCCAAAAGCTACTTGCAAAAGACACAATCTCTAAAATAATCTCCTCTTATTTTTTGTCACCAAACAGCTCTACTAGCTTATTGACCAAGTCAATAAGACACAAGCTCTTAGATAAGACATTTTTTTGTTGCCAAACAGTGCCTTAATGTTCATGTACAGTAAATCGCGCCCCCAGCAACTGACACCTCACCTGTCTCATAGTGGTCTTTTTTTAAGGGTCCCTGTAGCAACGCCCGGGCTTGAATGTATAGATGGGACTAATTAGGATTTGTTTTTAATATTATTATTATAGATAATGGTCCCTTACATCTTTCATATTTTGAAATTAGTCTCTCAATTCATTAAAATTGTTATTAAGTTAACGAGTAGATTATAATGCTCAGTAAAAAGGCTAACGGGTAGAAAATAATTTTTGCCTCAACGTTAACTCTTTCATTCCGTTCCAAAATCATCAGAAGAAGGCTTGTGTTGGTTGTTAAGCGAGCTTGGATTTGGATGTAAGTTAAGAGAACAATCGTATAGAACCGGGAAGTTTAAAAGTAAATTATAATGGAATATTTTCCCAACCCACACAACAATTTACCACAGGCTAGCTTGGAGTGACTCCTGTGAATTAGAAGGCTAAATAGTCAATTTCTATGATTTATGAGGCTAATTTAAAATTATGAAATTCTTATGCCTTTGAAATAACAATAACATAGTTAAATCAAAACTCTCTGCTAAAAAAGAAACTAAATAGAAGATATCTTCGTCGATATAAAATTAACCACAGATGGAGATTTTTTTTCCCGCTGTACAAGAATCATGATTTTATTAATAGACCTGTAGAAGCATAACGAGATCCTGAAGATTCTTTTTAAGAATAAGAACATAATCTTAGTTTAATTGAAACGTAATGAAGTAGCGTAGAAGAGAAGTACAAACTTACAGTTTAGGGTAAGTGAATTAAAATAGTTAAGTTATCGATTACTTGTTCAATAAAAGTGCCAGAATTTAACACTAGAGCTGCCCGAATATTATTGTGAACTATAGATTTAACAGTATAGCTAAAGGACTTATACGCAAAAGTGGGTGAAGCACACGACTTTGACAGCTCGGTCTAATTCCTGTTTGTTTGAGTCTTGAGTACTGAGCTAATTTCCTCATCAGGCGGTAGCTGCTTCAGTTGTGGCGTATTACCAATACTATGGCTGCAAAT